GTCCTCTGTTACAATATTCATGATGATTTCCAGCATCGGACTGTTGACTCACTACATTGACAGGCATTTCACCGGCATTGTCAGTGAGATACCGGCGAAACCCCTGGGAATGTACCAAGTCCGATGCTGGAAGTCTTCATGGGTAATATGGCAGCACACGTAGGACTAGGTACGTTCTACAAGGTTTTCCTGTCACCCCGAACAAGTTGCGAAAACGAGGCCAAACCAACAACATACTATTTGCATTTTTTATCATTCTCTATCATATAATAGGATCCTTAGTCTTCGACACTATTTATACCCCTCCATATTAATATATATTTTTATCCTTACCTCTTTTACCTTGGCCCCTGGAGGATTCTGGGTTGTTCACTGGGTGCCTATCCTTCATATTTGTTATGCTAATCACTATCCTCCATTTCACTTTTTTCCTAGACAGTATCAAACTTTACTCCAATTTTAAGGGAAAAATGTCTGTAAAGGTAGAATAACTATTTCTATACATTAACGTTGTTAAACCTATCATTTCGTTTAATGGAGTGAGTGGAAAGGACTCGTAAATTGGTCTCACCGGAGCTGTGACTTTAGATATGCTTTACAGTTCTACTTCTCATAGTTGAGGACTTATTCGCACAAATAGATATCACAGCTCCGGTGAGGCCAACTTACGAATTATTTCCACTCACCTCTTCCAACAAGCTAAAAAGTACTCTCACATTATTCTATTAGGAGGTTCTTCAAAAACCTGTTTTTTTACATATTTCTGTACATGTCTTCCTTTATAATAAACTTTGGCAGATTGAGTTAAAAACAGTTGGCTAGTCATGGGATACTGATAGATAACTAACTGTCCCGATGTGTACTTTGGTATATCTATTTGTGTCGTAGGTTGCATTTTCTTTTTGCCTGACCAAACCGAGTTTTTCCAAGACACCATAACGTGTTGAAATTTAGTCATCTACATGTATTTTCAAAAATGAGTAATAGCTGTCTTCGTCGTTTAATCTGTGACCCACTAACACCCGTAGGTCTATGGCGGATCGCTAATGTGTCGCCGCGATGCGCACACATCACTTTAGATTCTTGAGGATGTTGATGAAACCTGGGCGAGTTAGAAACTGTAGGCCACCTTGATTGAAAAAAAAATTTTGGATGACAAGGCTAGGCGAAATTCAAGTACAGCGTTAAGTCGACTCTCATGGTTATAGTAAAGCTCTATTTAAGTCTTAAGCGACATAGGGTTACTAACTTTTTAGTCATAAATTACTGAGGCACACCTTCCATAAGTCTCACTTGCTTTTTTAACTTATTTAATCTTTTTTTTAATTTTGTATGCACTTTTTAGGAGGACCGGATGATATTTGCTCGCGTGGCACACACTCGAGGCCAAGATACGAGTGCTATGGAGGCACTTGCCTATAAACATTATGTAACTAGCCTCCTGGCCGCTGCAGCGGGTGGCAACACCAACGCAGAAGCGGCTGCTGCCACGCTTTCAAAGGCACTGGCTGCTTCCATTGGGATCGTTGGCACTTCAGCTACTACGACATCTAGCAGTAGTGGCAATGGTGCTTCTCCAGCCTCAACTCCTTCACCGGTGGTCAGTTCCGCTCCTAACGCTTTCTCGGCTACTTCATTAGCATCCTCTGGAGCCACGTCTTCTTCCGTTTCATCCGGTCCCGTTCCTTCTACTTCTCAGGTTCTAGTCGATTTTTTTACTACATTTTTCTAATTAATTCTATTCAAGTAATAAAATATTACAAATTTGCTACCGGTCCTAAGATCCA